GTTCCACCAGAGTAAACAAATGAGAGAGTGAGTGAGGATGAACAAGACGCAAGTCACCATCTGTAACGTAATATCTGAAGTGATGTTCCATCACTTTTGCCTATCCCATTCCTTAGAAGCAAGTCACTAGGTTCAGCCAACATCCAGGGGAGAGGGTTAAGGGCATGAACACCAGAAGGTGGGGATCATTAGAGGCCATTTTAGAGGCTGCCTACTACAGATTCTATAAGCATCTCAATCTCAAAAAGTCCAAACCTCAGTTATCTTCTCCTCATACTTAGTGCTTCATAGTCCCTAAAAAACTGGCAGTGCCATATGCTAAGAGGCTAAATCCAGAAATGGAGGCACCTCTCTAACTCCTCCCTCTTCAGTACCTCCTCTTCTCCTTCCCCCACCCCCAGCACCAGCCAAATAATCATCAAATGTATCAACTATGCTGCTTAAGTTTCTCCGGAATCTGCCTTATTTCCATTTTGGGCCCAACCTTAGTGAGAACTATTATCATCTTTCATCTAGACTACTTCCATAGACTCCCATGTGGTCTCCCTGCTTCCAGTCTTGATTTCACTAATCCACTGACCACGATGCAGTCTGAGAAGTCTTTGAAAAATAAAAATATGAAGAAAAAAGAAAAGAAAATCTGAATGTGGCATTCCTCTACCTAAAACCTGTATTAGGAGGGAACATTTCTCACTAGGCGAACCAAGACAACACAGAGATGGATTAGGGGCAAAAGGATCTAGGGACTATAATATTTACTTCTGCATATCAGCCTTCCTGCTCTCTTGATGCAGAGAGGCTTTATCTGTACAGAAAAAAAGATGGCCACCAGCAACCTTGGACTCATATCCCAACAGTTCTCCCAGAGGAAAAAAGCTGCCACTATCTCTAGCTAGAAAAGCCCCGAGGATGGACTTATTTGCCAGATTTCTGTCACTTGCTCATCACAGGAGGACAGAAACTATGAATGATTCTGCTCGGGTCATGTTAGTACCTCTTTGGTGGGACAAATGCAGTCTGTTATTAGAAAGACAGAACAGCAATAGTCACATCAAAAGCCTTCAAGGCTTCTTATTCCTTTAAAAGTATTCCGTGATCTGGCTCCTGTATCTAGCTTCATCTCTTCCCATTTTTCCACTGCTTCAGCAATCCTGAATGCCTTCCAGTTTGTGAACCATAGTCATATTTTCCTTCTTGGTCTTCCCATATGCTATTTCTTTTGTCTAAAATACTCTTCTCTTTCCCCTTCCACTTTTTCACCTGGCTAACTTTCATCTTTCAGGTGTCTACTTAAATATTACATACATCTTCATGGGGACCTAACACCTAGAATTCCCACAATACCTCATATTCTCTCATTATAATACTCAGATAGGCCTTGTTAGGACTATCTACTCATAGTCATCTAACGTTCCTGCTAGAGAGTAAGCTCTCTGAGGCCACTGACTGAGTCTATTTTGTCCACTGTGAAATCCTAGGACCTAGCACCACATTTGGCAGATGTAAGTGTTCAACAAAAATGTCTTGAAATAATAAATGAAAGTGCTGGAAGAAATACAGACCCAATTGAAGGAAAAGGAGAAAACAAAGGGATAGTAAAGAATAATACCTACCATTTATGAAGTACTTGCTGTGAACCAGACACTGCGCAAGATGCTGAACATGTATAATTGCTTCATTCATTTATCACATCAACACTATGAAGCAGGCACTATTTCGAGGCCTATTTTACTATTTAAAAAACCCCTGGGCTTCCCTGGTGGCGCAGTGGTTGAGAATCTGCCTGCTAATGCAGGGGACATGGGTTCGAGCCCTGGTCTGGGAAGATCCCACATGCCGCGGAGCAACTAGGCCTGTGAGCCACAACTACTGAGCCTGCGCATCTGGAGCCTGTGCTCTGCAACAAGAGAGGCCACGACAGTGAAAGGCCTGCACACCGCGATGAAGAGTGGCCCCCGCTTGCCACAACTAGAGAAAGGCCTTGCACAGAAATGAAGACCCAACACAGCCAAAAATAAAAATAAATAAAAGAAGGCTCAACATTAAAAAAAACAAAACAAACAAACAAAAACCCCTGAAGCTTAGAGAATTGCTTTACATGATATATATCTATCTTCCACACTCATGATGTCGACAGATAAGTAATATACAAAATTTATGAAATAAATTGCATGGTGCAATGCAAAGAGCAGAGGCTTTGGAACTAGAAAAACTTAAATGAGAATACGGACTCTATCACTTTCTAGTTGGGTACCTTCACCAAGCTATGGAAGCATCCGAATCATGGTTTCCACATACATTAAAAAGAGGATTAAATACTGTTCTTAATGTTAGATAATGTACATGAAATACATGGTATAAAATAGGTATTACTTAAATGGTAGGTTACTTCGTCAGTTCATCCACTATATATCTTGCAGTAGAAGCACAAAAGGAATTACACCATCTAGATTCTCAAAGATCTTACTATCCAGTTGGTGTGAGAAGACTATTAAGAATACCTGAAGTTAAAGAGAATATGAGGCTAAATAGTAAATACTCTACACTGCTCTGTGGTACAGATGATAAATTCAGAAGAAGAAAGAGATCCATGATAACTAGACTGGATCAGAGACAGGGCCACAAAGGAAAGAAATGTGCAGAGACTCTTAGAGGATAAGTAAGATGGAGAGTGACAGAGAGGTGTTTTTCACTCTCCCCACCTACAAGGCAGAAGCATATATTGGTAAAACCATGAAACTGCTTCCTTAATTAAAGAGCGTGGATGTGGATCATGTGAGATTTTCATGGCCAGACTGTGGAGCTGAGATTTGATAAAGTAGGAAATATGGAGCTAATAACAGTTTGGGGTCAGGGAAAGGACAGAATGAGGAAGGATAATAAACCTTAACCTTTTCATGGGAATATTGTGAAGGATTCATCTTTTTCTTCCCTAAAAAGGAAGTATTACCTCTTCGAAATGTTATTCAAACATATTTTTCATTTATATAAAAGGGAACTTGGGCTTCCCTGGTGGCGCAGTGGTTGGGGGGGTCCGCCTGCCGATGCACGGGGCGTGGGTTCGTGCCCCGGTCCGGGAGGATCCCACGTGCCGCGGAGCGGCTGGACCCGTGAGCCATGGCTGCTGAGCCTGCGCGTCTGGAGCCTATGCTCCGCAGCGGGAGGGGCCACAGCGGTGAGAGGCCCGCGTACCGCAAAAAAAAAAAAAAGAAAGAAAGAAGCAGAACCCAAGGACTCTAATTGTGGCCCATATAACTTTTTGTATTACCAAATAATATCATATCTACATACTGGTCACAACTGGCCAACCTCAGCTTATTTATAACTCATCATATCAACTGTCATTTATAGACAGAATATTTTGTGCCATATTTTAATAAACAAGTGCCATTGTAAACTTTACCCCACGTGAAAGGTCATAGTGCCCTCAAGGAAACACAATGAATAACTCCATACAAAGATGCAAATTATAATTTCAGAATCCTGAGATAAAACTGTCTCATCCTTCCAATGTGTCTTTAAAAATGCCCACTATAGGTATTTTTATATCCTTACCCTCTTACAGTTCATTACAAAGGAACCATCAATCAGTTCTAGAGCATTCTTAAAACATTTTAAATAGCCAATGCGGTTTCTTATTACACCTCAGTCTTCTCCCATTACTCCCTTTATTTTAGGTTCTTAAACTCGGGCATTATTTTCTAACCATATGTTTCATGGCATGCTGGGGATTATATAATTTTTGTTTTTATCAAAATGGTACCCTTTTGGTTTAAGCTACATCAGGCTTTTCTTAAATTTACAATTCCAAAAGAATTACTTACAAAACAGAAGTAAAACTAGAGGGCCCAATTAAATAGAAAAATACTTCAAAAAATGGTAAGATTCTTTATAGTGTTTTTTTTTTTTACCACTTTACATTTGATAGATTTATGATAAAAGTGAATTACTTCCTTTCATAACTAAGTTGGTATGGAAAGTGAGAGAAAATACAGATACTACTAGACTTAGAAATGCACTGCGTATTGTCATAGCTAGTGTCTCAATTTCCAAGATACACAACAAACATGCTCATGAAATTTGAAAGATTTAAAAAAATTGGATCCTCCTGAATTCAAAGGCTAGGATCTGGACGATTTGGGGTAATATATCTTTGGTCACCAGGGCACTTTTGTCCTTTTAAATTTTTATAAACCACCAAGATTATTAAATATAATTAAAACTTGGCAGGAGCATTACTGCTGCCCTGAATGTTTTAAAGTTTTTCAGAAATGTGGATATATCAATTTAAAGGAGGGTATAATCTCTCAAGGAATTCCAGTATTATTTAAAAACCAAACCAAAAGAAGTGGAAATGGCAAAAGAGCGGAGCTTCTTGGGCTTAAAACCTCTAGAAGGCTGCTAAATATTCAGGAGTAAATTTTTGGACAATTATTTTTAAAAGGTGAAAGTGTTGGAGTAGATTAGCATTTTCAACCATTCCCTCAACAAAGATTTAATTTTACATCGATTTAAGCCACATTTCAGGCATGGCCATGTTTGATTTTTACTGTAATTATTACTTTTCTATGTGTCTGCCAAATCCTGAGTTAGTGGACAGTGTGCATTCAGGCAGGCTGTTACAGGCTGAAAGAAGTCTTTTCTTTCTTTACAAGTCAGACACAGCATTAATATCTCTTCTACAGTCAAGGCTACAACACACACACACACACACACACACAGACACACACACACACACACACACACACACACCTAGTTAAACGTTTACAGCGACTGTTAAAGGCAGTTGCACAACGGAAACCTATGAAATCTACCAACTTTTAACTCCACGGCTTCCATCCCACATTTCAGAACAGCATCTCCCTTAATAAAGGAAGGAGGCAATTTTCACATGTGGGAGATTCTTTTCTTGTCCCCCTACACTGAGTGATGCGCTGGGGCAGCGGGGTAAGGAAGGCCTGAGGGCAGAGAAGGGTAGTGAAGAAGAGTTGCTCGCTCACCACGGTGGATCCTTTCTTTACCGCTTCCTGGGCATATTCCACTTGGAGTAGGTGTCCGTCCGGGGAGAAGACAGTAATTGCCCGGTCATACTGAGACGCCATTGGCGCAGGGCTACCGCAATATCCGCTGTGAGTCCCACACTGCCTCAGTCGAGGGGTCAGAGGAGTCGCACCTGCGGCCACATGCTACCCGGAAGTGCTTGCGCATGCTCAAGACGCCATCGGAAGTGATCACGGGGACAGCTCAGGGGTCCTCGTGGCCTTCCGCTGGTTCGAGGCTGTGCGTGCGAGTCGACTGTGTTCCTCCGCTATCCTTAGTGCCTGGCGCGTGTGTCCCAATTTTCCCACGCTGGTGTTGCTCCAGGAGTGGGGTTATTAAAATGACCCTCAAAGATTAGGGCTTAATAGTGAGAACTTCAAAGATCAGGTATTTTTGTTTTCACAAACCTATTAGAGAACCAGTGGTAAGTTAATTTTCAACCTCTTATTTTTGGATTCAAATTCTGAAATGTCCTTCTCTCTCTTTCTCTTCCCCTCCGTCCTTGGTTATCTTACATTATTTTAACCCAAAGAAGTTATAATTTTCGAATTTCCATTTGTCCTTGCACTTGCTCGCGCTCTTTCTCTCTTTTCATTTCTTTCGTCCATTTCTGCCTTGTGATCAAAATAGAGCAAATGAGCAAATAGTCCATCAAAGTAATGTTAATGATAGGAATTAAGGTAATACTATTTTAACCAAAGAAATTTTCTAAAAGCCCAAATTATGCTAACTTGAAAGATATCTGCAAATTTAACTGTTCTATAAAGTCTGTATAATCTGGTACAACATTACTACCTGTGAAACAACTCTTGGCTCTTTGTCCTCATCAATAAAATGGGAATATTTAAAAACTGGTAGAAAAGTGTTCGTCTGAGGTTTAATGTATTTATAGGTATAAATAACTTAAAATGGTGCCTAGTGGATAGTAATAGCCAGGTAAGTTTAAGTATTGTTATTACTTTCCATGTTTGTTGTTTTCCATCGGGGAGGATCTTAAGCTTGGTGAAACCAACCTTAACTAAAAAAAGAAAAAAGGGTACCCACAAAAGAGGAGAACTCCATACCCTCAATTCCAAATACTTAATTCAGAGTTTTAGTTGACTACTAAAAGCAATTTGTATGCCCATCTTTTTCTTTAATATTAGAAACTCTTGAAAAGTCTGGTTTTACTAAAAAAGAAAAAAATTCCTAACCAAACCAATTCACTCTAATGTTTCAAGAGTTTCTGAAATTTACAATGTTATGGTAAACCAACATTTGCAAGAAGCTGTTATTTAAAAAGTGTCTTGGTGTCCTTGTTGAATAATATGATTTTTTCTTTTTCTTTTTACATGATTATAGATCACAAGAAATTTCAAAAATCGTGCAGAGAGGTCCCCTGTACCTTTCACCCAGCTTCCCCCAATGGTAATATTTTAACATAACTATAGTACAATATCAAAACCAGGAAAATGACATTGGTACAAACTTATTCAGCTTTTACCAGTTTTACATGTACTCATTTGTGTATGTGTGCATAGTTCTATGTAATTTATCATGTGTAGATTGGTATACGCACTACCACAATCAAATACAGAACTGTTCCATGACCACAAAGGTCCCTTGTGCTGTTCACTTACAGTCATACCCATCCTACTTCCCTCCCCCAACCCTGGAAACCACGAATCTGTTCTTCATCTCTGTAATTTTGTCATTTCAAAAATTTTATATAAATAAAATCATACAGTATGTAACTTTTTATTTTAAGATAATTGTAGATTCACAGGAAGTTACAATGATAATACAGAATGGTCTCCTGTACCCTTCACTTAGTTTACCCAATATGTTACATTTTATTGACTATAGTACAATATGAGAATGAGGAAATTGACGTTGGTAGAAAATATGTATATAGCTTTGATTGAAAGACATATTGAAAGTGTTATGATGTATTTTAGCATTTATTTCACAAATATGATAGCATTAAAATGTTGACAAGGATTAATTGACACATTTGTGATTCACATTGACACTGCAGCTTAACACTGTGGCTTTAGGCAGGTATATTTCACTTCACAAAAAACTAGTTTCCTGGGCTTCCCTGGTGGCTCAGTGGTTGAGAGTCCGCCTGCCGATGCAGGGGACACGGGTTCGTGCCCCGTTCCGGGAAGATCCCACATGCCGCGGAGCGGCTGGGCCTGTGAGCCAATGGCTGCTGAGGCTGCGCGTCTGGAGCCTGTGCTCCGCGACAGGAGAGGCCACAACAGTGAGAGGCCCGCGTACTGCAAAAAACACAAAACAAAACAAAACTAGTTTCCTGATCTGTAAAACAAGGGTAATAATACTTACTTCATAATCTTGTTGTGAAGAGCAAATAATGTGTTAGTGCACATAGGGCAGTGCCTGACACAGATAAGCACTTGAAAAATGTTAACTACTGTTACTAATCATTGAGTTAACTAAAAAGTTAAGATTATTCTGTAAGAGAGAAATTAGGAAAGTAAAAAAATGTAGCATGAACCCATTTATATATTTTTAATATGTATATATGTATAAATATACATTTGTAAGTATACAGACAAAAAAGAGTGAAAGAACATACACCAATTTGACAAAAGTGGTTTTCTTTGCAGGAGGCCAGGGATTGGAAGGAGAATGGGGAGACATGGTAAGGAAAGAGAAGTTACTGTTCTAAACTTCATATGTATAACTGTATTATTTAAAAAATTTTACAGCAAGCATAGTTTATACTTAAACAATAAAAACAACATTGAGAAAGTTTAATGCTTAGAGGCTTCCAGCAATGACAGCCTTGATGGTTTGAGCCAAATATCCTATTGAGAACAATTAGAAATATTGAACAAAGTATTTTTTTTAAATTATGTATGCTGACTCCAACTAGGGTTTGTGGTGCCAAGATTCAGAAGAGAAGGAAAACTCGTAGAGAGTAAGCCTAGCATCTTCCCTTGGAGGTATTTGCCTATTTCCAAAGCACTCACTAGGTGAGAAGGAGACCTTTGATAAACAAAAACTGGAGTTCAAAGTCTGTCAGGGTATAGAGGTCATGAAAAACACCTAGGCTTTTGTTTGGGACTCAGGGGGCCACAGCCCCGAAGTAAGAGTGAAACAAAAATAGACCTGTTCTCACAGGGACCTACGTTGAGCTTTGAATCATCTCAATCCATGATTGGAATAAAGCAGTGTTTCTCAGACTGTGGTTCAGAGATCTTGGAGGTACCCAGAAAACTTTCAAGGGATTCACAATGTCAAGCCTATAGTGAAAACACTAAAACAGTATTTGCCCTTTCACGGAGTGGATATTTACATTCACAGTGCAAAAGAAATGGGTAAAACTGCTAGAGCCTTAGAATAAATCAAGGCAGTAGTACCAAACTGTGCTAGTAAACATTGTATTTTTTACCACTAAGCACCTATGGAAAAAAATGCCAATTTCATTTTAGAGTATCATTGAATAAGCAGTAAATTATTAATTTTATTAAATCTTGTCTCTTGAGTACCTGTCTTTTTAATATTCAGAATGACATAATGGGCAGTACTCATAAAGCACCTCTGCTGCCTCCAAAGTAAGATAGTTAGCTTGAGAAAAAGCACTTTTTAAAATATTTGAGTTGCTAACCGAACCAGCCCCCTTTCTTGTTGGACACCATTTATACTTGAAAGAATGACTGACACACTGTGGTTATTCAGAGTTATAATTTGGGCAGGCATTTCTTGAAAATGAACAAAATTAGCCTGTCATTTCAAAAAAACAACAGTATGTGTTTCAAAAGATAAATTTCAAGCTTTTAAGCAAAAATTAGAATTTTGGAAGACTTGTATACATCACCATGAACTTGACAACCTTCCCATAATTAAAAACTTTACTGGGACTTCCCTGGTGGCGCAGTGGTTAAGAATCCGCCTGCCAATGCAGGGGACACGGGTTCGATCCCTGGTCCGGGAGGATCCCACATGGCGCAGAGCACTAAGCCTGTGTGCCACAACTACTGAGCCTGTGCTCTAGAGCCCACGAGCCACAACTATTGAGCCCGTGTGCCACAACTACTGAAGCCTGCGCACCTAGAGCCTGTGCTCTGCAACAAGAGAAGCCACCACGATGAGAAGCCTGCGCACCTCAACGAAAGAGTAGCTGCCGCTCGCCACAACTAGAGAAAGCCTGTGCGCAGAAGCGAAGACCCAACACAGCCCAAAATAAGTAAATAAAATAAATTTTTAAAAAATTAAAAACTTTACCGGGACTTCCCTGGTGGCACAGTGGTTAAGAATCTGCCTGCCAATGCAGAGGATACAGGCTTGAACCCTGGTCCAGGAAGATCCCACATGCCATGGAGTAACTAAGCCCCAGCACCACAACTACTGAGCCTGTGCTCTAGAGCCCGTGAGCCACAACTACTGAGCCCATGTACCGCAACTACTGAAGCCCACGTGCCTAGAGCCCACGCTCCTCAACAAGAGAAGCCACTGAAAGGAGAAGCCCGCGCACCACAATGACGAGTAGCCCGCGCTTGCCGCAACTAGAGAAAGCCTGCGCACACCAACAAAGACCCAACACAGCCATAAATAAATAAATAAATAAATAAAATTTATTTAAAAAAAAAAAAGACATTCAAATTGCTGTAGACCAATGGATTTTAATGTAATAATCAAAGTTCACTCACAGGATTCTAAATTGTGTTTCAACCAACTTTAAGAAACTATCACCTTTTGAGCACTGGTCTAGTATCAAAGGAGACCCAATGATTGAAATTCACTGAATGATTGATGTACAGTGATTTAAAAAGGCTATAAAAAATACTCCTCTATTTTCTAATACATATCTTTGTGAGTTTTTTCCCTGTATTTCAACCAAAATAACATATTGCAACAGTTTGCATGTAGAAAGAGATATAAGAATACAACTATATTTTATTAAGCCAGACATGAATGAGATTTACAATCTCATTCTTCTCACTAATTTTCCCAATTTGGGAAAATATAGTTTTTTTAATAGAAATATATAAAACATACATATCAATATGTAATGAGTTTACTATTTTAAATGAATTAATAAGTAAAATGTTTTAATTTCTTATACGATCAATATTGATAGATATAACCCACATAAACAAAAGCTCTTTGAGATCTTCAGTAATTTTTAAGAGGGTAAAGTGTTCTTAAGG